CATTTCTTCTATAATGAAAATGTCCTCATTTATAGGGTAAGAGAAATCCCTAAATGTAAAATGATGTGCACCATAAATTATACTTTTATAGTCAGCTGATCTCACCCTAGTTGAACACCCATGGAAAAGCCGAGGGGAATCATGTGGTCTATATTAAAAAACATAAAGGAACTGTAAAAATTGTCTTCGTGTAAACAGTTTTGAAGAATTGTCATAAGTGATTTATGCTACCCTGGTAGAACACCTTACGTTGGCTTATCATTTTGTTGTTTTTTGTAGTGACCTTCACAAACTTTTAGGCAGCTTATTTAAATTAACTTCTTTTTGTTCCTGAACACAGGTGGAACATGAACATAGGGCTTTGGATTGCCGTCTTGGGCTCAAGGATGGCCGTCCTTTCTCTGGGGTTACTGCTTGTATGGATTTCTGCGCCCATGCTCATAGAGACCTCCACAACATGCAGGGTGGCAGCACTGTGGTAAGGATAAAAAAGGGAAACACATTTTTCTAAGTACTTTAGAAAAATGCCGGTTGAATATATTTGCATAAATTCAACCTGCAAAGCCATTTAATTCAGATAGTAATTCTTTTATTTTTTTTCAGGTGTGTACATTAACGAGAGAGGATAACAGAGGGATTGGAAAGATTCCAGAGGATGAGCAGCTTCATGTCTTACCTCTTTATAAAGCTTCCAACACTGATGAATTTGGAAGTGAGGAAGGTCAACAAGAAAAAATAAAGTCAGGGGCTATCCAAGTTCTCAGTGTTTTCCGCCGCCAGGTGCGCATGCTTGCAGAGCCTGCTAAATCTTGCCGACAAAAAAAGCTGGATGCTAAGAAAGCAGCTGCCAACAAGAATGCCATGCTGGAAAGCACCAACGATAAAGGAGAGAAGGCCAAATCAAAAGCTGGCACTTTTGAGAATTCTACTCAGAGCAATCCAATGGCAGGTAGGGTAACAAATTATTTTCTCTTCATAGGTATCCCTTGATTTCTCTGAACTGAGCGGTTTCTGTCATATTTCAGGCTTGCTTCCAGAACAAAATGAGGTGTGCATCAGAAGTTAGTGAGGGTGCTCTATGCCTATACAGCTTACCAGGGCTGTATAGGTTGGACAGGTTTTACCGTTGGAAAAACATGAAATGTATTCTAAAAAAATAAATAAAACATTACATCTTTATTGATTTATGTAGATATATAACCTTTCATTAATGGTACAGTGTAGGCTGTCAAATGTGTCTTTGTGGGGGAAAGCGTTAAACATGTTTTTTCTTTGTAGCAACATATTGTTGGAACACTAAATTGAACACCAAAAGACCCACAAATAATGATTTTACAAAAGGTGACACAATGGATTTTGTTTTCCAGGACTTATTCCAGGTGCTGTAGGAGCAACCCGTCAATCATGTCAGCCACAACACCCCCTAGGGGTCCATCAGCAGCAGCAACACCACCAGAGCATTCTCCCTCCTTATCCTGGCTCAACAAATGCTGCTTTCTCCAGGTTTCCCAACCATAATGGGTCTTTTCCAAGCACTTCAAAGCCAGGAAGTATATATTCCCATCAGCCATCATCTTCCAGCCCTTATCCTTCCCCACTCCATGCATCAAACTCATACATGAATGCATCCAATCGTCCATACCTCGGTTATCAATGTAATGGAGGAATTCCCTTTGACAACTACAATCCATATTATCCCCCAAACCCAAAGCACTTAGAAATGTATCGACAACAACGGCCGACACTTTACTCAGAGCAGCAGTATGGCATACGGCGTTATGAGGTCAATTACCCACCAAGATATGGTGAGCCAGGCTTACAGGTCAATGGTTATAATGCCAGCAGCATTAGACCAGTTCCTCCCATGCGACCTTATGGACCTTATACTCCTAACAGCGTCTCAGATCCCCGGTTTATGGACCCCCTCTCAAGAGCATCCTCAGCCCATGCAGGCGTAGATTACAAAACTGCTATGAGCAAAGGCAATCGGTTTGGAGAATGCCCAAATCCATATCTGCCCCAGAACCCTCAAATGCTGTCCCCAGGCCAAGATCCTTTCCATTTGCAAATCAAAGCAGAGATGGGTATGCCTGGTCCACAAATGCTTTCTGCTCAGTCTGGCAGTATGTGTTTAAACCCTGAAACACAGTCAGGGTTAAGGTTGCCAAATGGAAGCCTCATGGGTTCCAGTATCAAGCTGGAGCCTGGAACACCACAGACACCCACCACGCCGCAAAAGCCAGAGCTGTGGTCAGACAACGAGCACAATTTCTTAGACCCTGATATTGGTGGAGTGGCTGTGGCACCTAGCCATGGCTCTGTCCTTATTGAGTGTGCAAAACGGGAGCTCCATGCGACAACGCCCCTTAAAAATCCAGATCGCACCCACCCAACCCGTATTTCCTTAGTGTTCTACCAGCACAAAAATTTGAATGAAGCCAAGCATGGTTTGGCACTGTGGGAAGCAAAGATGGCGGAAAAGGCTAGAGAGAAAGAAGAAGAAGCAGAGAGGAATGGCGGTGAGGGGACTCCTAGCAAGACCAGCAAAAAGGGGCCTAAACGTGAGCATTTAGAGTCATCAGAGACCACAGGGGAGCCTCCTTACAAACGTTATATCAAGGCACTAATGGAGGGATCTTTGTCATGCACAACAAACACGTATGTCAGTACATCTCCGTACGCCTTCACCAAGGTTACAGGGCCTTACAGCCAGCTTGCGTAGAAAACACTCATTAAGAAGACCCTTGAAGGTGCTATGACAAACAAGACCACAGGCACCAATGCCCTCCCATCACCCTTTTGTTGTAAAAGGAACCTGTGATTAGATGAGCTACAAATCACCTTTCACCTCTTTAACAATCAAGCTTTACCCGTTTACCCTACAAAGGTTGTATTTATTCTTCTTTGGTAACTTTTGCAAGATACAAACTCTCTGGTGCTTTTATTCTGATACACACGGATCTATTTTAGCTGTAAAGAGTGAGTTTTGGTGGTTTTTATTTTTCTTTCAAAGTTTTTTGGAGATTTAATCTTGGCATAAAACACTGACTTTTTGTAAATGACAACATTCACGGTGCTAAAAAATTATGCTTATTACCTTTTATTTTAATTCAAATGCCTTTACACTAACTGCACAGATAAATGTCAGCGGGACACCGGAAATATCATGCCAACATACAAAATGCTTTTCGAAAAGCCAGTGTTTTTTAAAACACATTTGGTAATGATAGTTGAAGCTGAAAAAAGTTTTGGTAGTACCTTTAAATTATAAGATCTGGTAAAAGCATATGTCTGCATTGAAAGCATGTCATTTCTAAGCAACACATTGTGACATTCATGAATTTGTAAGGACTTGGGGGTTGTATGAACAATCCATAAAGGTGTCCATGCAAAAGTTTTAACAGTTTTATCAATTGCTGGTGCTTCTTTCACTTTCCTATGTCATTTTTACTGTAAATTGAGCCATTCTTTTATGGTGCATTTTTGAAAGAAAAAAAAACAGAGAGAAAGATCTCGGTTTTTCTGGTTCCTTTTCCAGGGTTCCTTTGTTTATCAATTTTTTTTTTTTTAAACGTTCCTTACAACAGGTTAATTGAACACACCTGGTGATTGTGAATATTACATGTAGATTTTTCTGTGGTGCTTAGTAAATGTGCTTTTTAAACACTGAGAAACATGATACTGGGTGAGCTCAGTGTCAGTTTCAGAGGGCAGCTGGCTTGCTGTGTGGTCTTTACTTATTGTAATCTAACTGTAAGATAAACAGGTGAGATTTGTACAGTAAATTAATATTCCTTTTGGAATTCCTGTTAGAGATTTTTTGTTGCAAAGAATGCTAACAGCCTGTTTCACTGTATTTCTTTGGGTTTCAAATGAATCTATTCATAAGGTGCTACTCAACCTACTAGAAACATAAAATGTGAGACTCTTTGGGAGGTGAGAAGGCTTTTAAATAGTGTACAGTACAAACCTGTCATATACCTCAAACATTTGGCAATAGGATTATAACATCTTTTTCTTTCTTTATTCGTTTATTATTTTCAAAATGTTGATCACACTTAAAATTCAGGCCACCAAAAGGCATAAAAGTTCATTTCTTACTTTCTTATGAATCTGCAAGAAAGTATTACTTGAACTTGAATCTTTAATATTACTGCAAAAATCAGGGACATTTTCAACTAATTTTGTGTACATCTGCATTGCCTGTATTAATGTGGTTGTTTTGTTTTTTTCATATTCAGGGACTTGCCATTGCATCCTGAATCCCAATATGGTTCTTGTTTGTTATATTTCACACAAAATTATTTTGTGTGGAAAAATATACTTTCCTGCAGTTTTGTACGTATATTTTAGCAAGGAGAATGGAGGTAATAGTAATCTGAACATATATGCACTGAGCTGACTAAAGGGAACGATATTGACTTTTAAAAAAAAAAACAAAAAAAAAACAAGAAGCAATTTTTTGCTTATTTTACGAAGCAAGACCAGAGCAGTGATTAAAATAGTTGCACATCTTTGTGCCTGTGTATACATTTATTTATAACCACTAAGCAACTGTACAATGACTTCTTCCCAATCTATTTGATTGAATTAATGTAATTAAATTAATGACAGTCATGCTAAAGCAACAACTCACCCCACTTTTCAATATTCATTTTCTTAAAGCACTTCATTTCTTTTTCAGGAAAAAAAATGTAATGTAGAATTTCAAAATGTTTTATTTAAACAGATTGTTTATGTGTTAAAAAAATAAATTATGTCACAATGTACATACCAAGAATTTGTATTTCAGGAGTATAACTCATTCTTCAATGTTCATGTTGGTTCTTTTTGTTTGTCAATTCTACCATAGTTTGTCCTTTGAGACCCTTTCCCAAGTTAAAATGATTTTGGTTAGATAATCCAGAAAGTTTTTTGTAAATATTACACTCACTGTCGCTGCAATGGTTACAGTTATAGTATCCCCATAGTTCAGTTAGTAGTTCTAGTTTTTTTTTTTAAATCTGTTCTGTAAAAATAATCATATAGAAATGTTAAATTTCATTGTACAGTACCCAGCTACAGTAGCAGGTCGTTGTTGAGAGAGCCAAGGTGTAGTAAGAAATAGCGGGTTAAAAAGCATAGCCATACTTGAAGATGCTTCAGAGTGATTCTGAGTGAGTCAACATTACTTGAATGATTTTCTGGGCTTAGCTAGTATGCTCATCTCAAAGGTTAAGCCAGCAGTTCATACACACTTGGTCTTTTTGCAGTTAGACACTAAAAGGTATAAAAAAAGTGCAACTTTTTGCCTGTAATTTTACTTTTTTAAAGCTTCCCTAGTTCTCTTGAAGTTTGGTATGCTACAAAAGAAAAAAGAAAATCAAATTGAGGATGGGTATTAATACTGTAAGTATTGTAATGTACTGAATGCAGTTTATTTGAAAGCTGTTTATTATATCATTCCTGATGTTGCTGATATGTGGGTGTTTTTTTAAATAAAATTTATATTTATTTAAAGCACTTTTATTTGTTACTTCCAAGTTAATCACAATATCTAAATTCTGTGTTTTATCCACAAGTTGAAATTTGTGATGTGAACTTATAAAACACACATAATGAAAGATTTTCCTTTTAATTTACCCAAACGTTTACTTGTTACATATAAAGTGTGTGGTTCTGTATCTGCAAGAACAATTACATTTGTACAGGAAATTAGAGGACTATATAAATATAAACTAGACATGGCCACAACAGTCCTGGAATACAAATACAGCATGATTCACAATCATAAAAAAGGAGTCCTTTTTCCCCCATGACAAATAATAATCGACATACTAGCAAAAAATTCAAACACGTGTCACTTGTGGCACCATAAATCAGACCCGACTTCAAGTCTGGTACTTTAGCACAATTCTTCACTTGGTGTGTTTCTTTTATTCAACAAATAACAGAGTGTCGATGGCTCTCTTTTAAATGGCTCCATACAAAATAAGAATGCAGAAGAATCCCTCATTAGGTGTTCAGACGTTTTGACTGTATCCATGCTGTTTTGGGAGTGTCAGACAAAATGCCACTTTTCCACTGTGCAAGAAGAGGTTTAGAATGGCAAAGAATTATTTAAAATGTATCTCTTTTATTTTTGTAATTGAACAACTGTTGCAAAGCAATTTCCCTGTGTGGAAATCCAAGTATGATTCTTGGAATACGTTCTTCTCTCTCACTTTTATTTATTCATCGATTAATTTATGTAGCTAGAAATATATTAATAAGTCTTTTCTTTTTTTTTTTTAACTTACCCTCTGGAGACACAGGATGTGCGCTGCCAAATGCAGGAGCCTGGAGAATGAAAATATAAAAATAAACCTACCACACTTACTCATCGTGTAGCTTTATATCTTACTGCTGCAATGGCTACCAATAGTGTGAAACAAGAACTAGTAAAGTTCTTACCGACTGAACTACTTCTCTGGCCTCATCAGTGGTACATCTCCAAGGGCTATCACAACATAACGTGTTTTTGCTGAAGAAAAAAGCAAAGAGTAGTGCTCATTATACTTTCATAGCCAGTTACATCATATGCAAACACATAAAGCAGGAGTTTTGTCTTCAACTAACTTACCAGTCAATTCCTCCAGTATTTTTTTGCTTCTGTACTAGTGCCCTCCAGTGCTCGTGGGTGGACTTAATGATCTCAACTGCAAAGTCCTATCAACAGAGATAGAGACTATTTTGTTTTTTGCTGTCTCTTTCGCTAACTGCATGGACTGCAACTAGTAGCAGACTGCCATGTCATATGATTGTTACAAAGGTAGTAAGTACCTTGTCTTTGAACTCCCCATTGAATCCAAATTTGTTTTCAGGCTTTCCATCCGGCACCTTATATTTCCTAAACCACTCAACAGTGGCCTCTAAATGACCGGGTCGGTTCTTGCGGACATCCTCTATATCTGCAGAAAACACATTCAATAACATGAATTCGGGAACTAAATTGTGCAGCAAATATTCAGTGAGAAAATTTACAGTTAGCAGTTTCTAAGATTATAATTTATGACACAATGTAGCTATACAACACTAATACAACAAAAGGATTCAAGTTAAAATGAATGCAGGGTTAACAATATTTAGAACATGCTGTATGAGGTTAAGAAATGCATTAAACATGTTGGCTAGGGTACAGTGTGTTTTGGAAAGACACGTTGAATATAAACACAGCAATGTTTACAGCAAAATCTCCACAGGGTACAGACTTTGCCAAGTGTTTTAACTACAGAGTGCAAGTCTGCATTTCTCCCATGATGTCTGTGTTGGATAAACAATCAACTGAATCTGAAATGGGCAGGTACATTAGTATCTCGCTCCTGGTACGTGGGCAAATGCAAATCTGACAAGTAGTGCACACTGGCTGCATAGCTAACCTTAAACAGCTCTACATGTGCTTAATCTTCTTGTATAGAATAAGCAGATTAAAATGAAATGGTATTTTTGAATCAGGGTAGAGAGCAGATCACTTTATCATTTTGAATCTGCCTTAATCTTTCTGCTGCCATGAAACAGTAAAATAATTACTAATAATCACTAATGTACGTTAAATTAATTACATGTTACCAGTTCTTGACTTTCATTAGTTTAAAACACTCACTATTTAGATTTTTGGCATCAGGGTCTTCAGCATTGATAGCTATGACCTTCCAGTCCATTTCTCCTTCATCAATCATGGCCAAGATGCCAAGCACTTTTACTTGGATAACCTGACCAGTAGAGCACACCTGAAGAACCAAACAACACATAATAAATCATCAATTAATAAAAAGCAATACTACATAAATTGCACATGTATATACACTCACTGACCACATCATTAGGCGCACCTGTTCACCTAACTGTTAACACACATATCTAAGACTCATGATTCATTAGATATGACTTGCTAGCAATCCTAGAAAGGGGTACCTAATAGAATGTCTCTAATAAAATCAATGTACAGTTTTAAGCTGTATTACCTGGGTGCCTATGTCACAAACATCAATGGGGTCATTGTCACCACAGCAATTAGTTTCTTTGTCTTTCTGGCCCGGGTCTTCCCACGTCTTCAGTTCAAGCATGTAAGAAAACAATCATTCAGGTATTTGTAAAATATAATTATTGGAATATATTTAAATACAACAAAATGAACTGCAGTACTGTTATTTTGAAACAGATATGATGAAAATGAAGAAGGAGGAGGCTTATCTCATACTGTGCTTTTCCTCACCTGTGGAAGTGCCCCATAATTCCAAATGTAACCTTTATGGGGAAATATGTTGGCAACATAGCGGAGCTTTCCTTTCTTTTCATCCTGCTTGATCGGATTCAGCGGTTCCTTTATCGCAATCTGGGAATTGAAGCAATTATGAAGGTGTGTGTTTTTATGTGCGTGTTTGTTGTTTTTCCACTGTTGAAGCGCAGCTGAAGAAATTAGGTAAATAACTTTCACTTCTTAAATGTCAGGAACTCCCCACTTTCATGCTTAGCTAGCTAGCTAAATGAAAACAGCTTCAGGGCACTGCTATTCTAACTTCAGAAGTGGGAGGCAACTCATTCCATTACATTTTAAATGCGGTATAAATTTCCTTGTGGTGAGTTACATTTAGTTTTGTAAGTCAGTTACAACTCAAAAAGCCACATCAAATGCTTATCTAAAGATAAATAAAGCGTCTTCCAGTTGTCGTTATGCTATCTGATTTAAAAACAAAACCACGACTACAATTTCTTAAAAACAGATGACTGTGCATAATAACCTTTCTTCCAGTGCAACAGCAGTTGTCATAGGGTATAGTAGAATGTAATGTGTGATACCTTACCTGTAGCATGTACGTACATGACTACTTTATCTATTCTTACCTCCATTTTAGCATTTGACCATCTCGGTACCTCCACCACCATGTTGTAGAGCACCTGAGAGAAACCAAGAAAGCCAAATACCTTATCCTGATTGTTTTAGATCAGGGGTGTCAAATTCAAATACACAGTGGGCCAAAACTCAAAACTGGAACAAAGTCGCGGGCTAACGTTAATATTTATTGAAATATATTTAATCCTCCAGATATAAGAATGAATCTTTTCTTATGGACTCAAACACGTTTTGCTGAAAAACTGAATATGGAACAAGCAAAGCTTAATACTAAACAATATATATATTAGCTGTATAATACCAGTAGGCCAGCTCTAATAGTAATTTGGTTTGGCTTCGCGGGCCAAATGTAATTAGGCTGCGGGCCAAATTTGGCCCGCGGGCCAGAGTTTGACACCTACGTTTTAGATGGTAGAAGTGACCTGAAACACTTAATCGAACTTTACCTCACTCTCACTCTTCTTGGACTTTTTAGCAGGTACATCATTTTCCTTAAGAAAATAAAATAAATAAAAATGGTTAGAATATTAGATTCATGTGAAAACAGACCTTTGCTATCTAACCCTTACCTGTTCTGTCTCTGCTATTAGTGGAATATCGTGGAATGGCGAAATGTATTTCCCATCTGAGGTTTCTAAAAAACAAAAAAACAAAACATAAATTAAAACTTTAGCAAAGTACTTCTGTGCATAAACATATTACTCTTAACAAATATTTTACAATTGAATTCCAGATGTCTGTTTAGTGTAGGGAACAAAAACTTAAATCTTGTTATTTTTGAGGTGATTGGATATCTATATCTTGACACTTTCCACACAAACATCATAAGAGATGTCACAACAGTTTTTTTAAACAGACTAATCGGCATAAAATACAAAGAAAAAAATCATAATAATGACGATGATGTCATAGTTCATATTTCAAAGAACTGGGGTGCCACTTGTTCCTGGTGTTTAAAATATAAGTATTACTCATTTTATTTATTTATTTATTTAGGACAGTGCATGTTAATGAACATAAATGTAAAAAAAAATTACATGAATGTAAACATACCAGATTATAGCCAAGGGCTAATTTCCATCTGTTGTCCTTAAGCATAAAAATAGACATAATAATTCATAAAAATTCATCATTCATTCATAATAAAAACTCCATCACCAAACTTACACATACACACCATTCTGTTCCCAAATAAAACATTAAAACTATACAACTCATACATGATCACACACTTGATTTGTCCATAACCAGTTTTTAACCTTTGCCTTAAACAAATTGAGTGTAGAGCATTCTCTAATGGGTTGAGGAAGACTGTTCCACAGATGGCCTCCCTTGACAGAGAGGACATTTTGCCCAAATGCTGTCCGTCTGTGGGGTATAAACAAGTCTCCTCAGATTGAAGCTCGAGTGGTGCTGTCTGAGCTTTCTTTATGCCTAATGAACTGCTTTAGTGGTGGTGGAGCATATCATTCAGGCAGGGACTGTTTACTTGGGCTTTTGAAGTGGGGGTTGTATGAGGTTCTGATGAGTCAGTGTTACCTGCAGTTGACGGCAATAAGCACAACCTCAAGCAAAAAGGAGAACTGACTAGCACGGAAATTGCCACTGCTTTAGCTCCCATTAGGAAGCTCTTCACCACAAGGAAGTGAAACTTTAACGTCCCACCAGATTCCACTGACCAAAAACAGTTATGTTACCTCCCAAAAACATAAGGTCTTAATTAACTGCCGCCTCAGTCAGTTAGTGAAAATGACATTCACACCAACTAGACTAGCAACCCCTGTTTTGTCCTTGTGTCCACAAATCAACAGACTTTGGTGTATGTTGTCACATGCAACAGAACACAGACAAATATATATACACGGTCAAGCCTTTAAGCTATTACCGGTGCAGCAAAACAAAGCTTCAAGGGACAAGGTTACACTCAGACAGTGCACCGAGGACAGACACAAACCTTGCAAACACTGCTTTACAGAAGAACAGCTTTACAAAACACAGCATCAAACTATAACAGTATTAATGACGCTGTCGGCTAATATCTTTTGAAAACATATTTTAATTGATATACTGCCCAGTCATAGGTACACTATTACTCTACTTTCTCAATGCCAATGGAGGAAACTAGAAAGTGAGGTAAAATTAAAAGCTTTTCAGTTTCAGACAGTTTTGCAGGGTTCAATAAATGTGCAAATACTTTTGATGTTAATCTATTCATTGATCATTATTATTATTGTTATTATTATTATTATGCAGGTGGGAAAATTATTAAAATTATTAAAATTATTAACTTAAACTGCTCAATCTTCTGACAAAGTTTCATTATGAGTCTTATTATTTGACTAAACAATAATAAATTATCTACATAAATCACAGGCATCAGTACAGCCCTTCTATTGTGGCCAAAGCTTTAAGAAGTTCCTGTATTACTGACAGTAACAGGAAAAGAACAATTGCCTTTCTAATGCACAATACCAAAGCGATGTTCAATCCCAAACACACTCTCAGGCGTACGTTTTGCAGTGCATTTCCATGCATGCAGCCCACACGTTAGTGCACTGCAGTGTGCATGTTGTTGCTGCATGTCTGCAGCCTTCTGCTTGAAACAAGATTAATCAAATATTACAGCATTTTCTTTAAAACTGTGATTCAAGTTCCCTTTTTTTTTAAAGCAATTATTATTGTGAAAAGCAAAAATGCATTCATTTCCAGTCCAGTTTCCTCATTACTACCATGTGCACACTATAACTTGAATATCCATGTTTATTGATACTTGCATTTTCATTTAAAAAGTGGCACTTTTACATTTTCTGGTAATTTACTGATGCAGCAGTAAAGCGCTAACAGTGAGGTCATACAACACATTTTAATACTCCAAGAAAACAGTGCCTTGTAGTGTGAACAAACTGGACTGTCCCAACTCCTTACACTCTCCTGGCTTGGGCTAGTGCCATTCACAATCTGAACCAGAATAGTTTATTTTAGTTTCTCAGCTTCTCTCCTCCTTATCACAATAATGTTCACGATTTTACAGATACTGTGGTGTAATTAAGGAAGCTAAATGTATTTGTTTAATTAAGTTAGGCTTTTGTCACTGAGGAAGCACTGGAGTTCCCTGCTCAGGTGTAGATTGCGATCACACAGCACCACATCAGAGTTCAACCCCAGTGCGGTTTTGGGGTCAAGCATGGACCTTTGCTGTGCCTGAATAAAGCTTTATATCTGGTTTCATCCCTGTTGTTACGTTTTGATAAAGAAAATTCATGATCTACAACACGGTTTGACTTGATATGATGTGTCTTGATGATAGAAATGCATCCATTTTTGGTTTTGCTTGAGGTTTTGCATGACTGGCATCCACGTGGCCAACAAACAGGAAGTACAACCCACGAGGAACACGCACCTCTTCCTCGTTTCTCCGTATGCGTACTTTCAAAACACGTGACAACGACGGCTAGCGTTAGCGGGATTTTGGCACTAAAAGCAAAGCCGTAAAAGAGCCGCTTGGGCAGGAAACATAACTCAAAGGTCAAGCGTTTACCTTGACCTGCATGTCGATTTATGGTTACCACAACACGGTCGGACACCAACCTTTGAGACTGTGCTAACCAGCTGCAGCATTCAATGCAAAAACAGGCATGGTTCCTTTCACAATGGCGGAAATTAACTTACTAAAATAAAGCCTGTAGTCGGGAGAGTTCTGGTGTCCTCTCTGCTCCGTTTGATAGTGCATCGTTTTTCTGAAATAATACTGGTGCGAAACAGCTGCTGCTTGTGCAATAACTTTGCGGCTAGAGGCGGAAAATGTGCCGAAAACTGTCACCAAACACCGGACCGATAAGCGTAACATCAGTGCTCTCATTATACAGTTCTTACTTCCCCCGTCTTAGTTCCTGCTTCCCGTCCTCCAGCTTCTGTTTCAACAGCCTCGGCGTGAAACCGCGGGCTTCCGGTCAGCGCGTTTCAAAATAAAACACCCCAAAGCTGCGGACGTAGTTTTGTGTGACGCAGTTTCTACATGAAGGTGCGAATGTACTGTATATTTTATTTATTTTTCCCATATTCAGGCCAGCACTCTTCGACATATTTAGTCAGTGCAGTGGCCCATATTTGACCTGCGTTTAGTCTGTTTTATTCAAACAGTCTCCAAAGTGTAGAAGCGTTTTTTTCTTTAACACGATCTTCTTGTTTGTTTTGTTTTTTATTTGGTATAATAGTGTAGTGTCACGTATAAGTAGCCTGGTCTCATGCCTCAAGTCTGTTCAGTTGTTCGTCTGTTACCAATACATTGTTTTTATTTTATTAATAATAAATCATATTTTAACCGGAAGTAATTATTTCTAACTTAATTTTACAATTAGTGTAGCAGCCACAGAAAGGATTGTAATGGGTAGTAGCTTTATTTTTACTGCCCCCTAGCTGTCGTTCAGGTCTTTCTACTTTTTTCTTTGTGTCCCTTTTCTCCACCTTCCTGCCTGTCAGCTTGAAATTGTTATATTACACACGTACTGAGTATTAATAGAAATCATGGAAATAAGCAAATTAAACAGATCAAATTAAAAGGAAAATACCAACTAGATGTGCCTATAGAGGATTTATAGAGCTCATCTTGGATAAGCATTCTTAAGGAAGGGAAACTGGGAGAAAAGGCTGAGATATTTGAAATTACACAAAACTGGATGGAAAGTCAGTGGCAATGGGTCTTATGGAGGGATGAATCCAAATGTGAAATATTTGGTTCAAATCATCACCAATATGAGGATGTCAAGAGATGTACAACTCAACCAAGAACAGAAGAAAAGTCAGCTAACATCCAGAGAAGCGCTTTGAATTACCTTGAAGAATCCTGAAGAACAATTCCCAAAAACAACTTAAAGAAATGACAAGGAAGCTGCCTAAGAGACTTCAGGCTCTGTTGAAGAGTTAAGGTGGCCATACCAAATATTGACTTACAAGGTCACTGGAATTTTACAAACTCTGATTTTGCCTTACGCAAATTGAGATCTTGTGACTATAGAGCGGTGTTGGGTAAGTTACTTTAAATTAGTAACTTAGTTACATTACTAGTTACTTCTATCAAAAGTACTCAGTTACTTCAAGTTACTCGTTACTTACAA